GAAATATGTACTGTATATAGGTAGCCCTTGCTTAGTGACCACAGTTGGGACCAGCAACTCCATGGCTAAGCACTGTGGTTGCTAAGCGAAAAATCACATGACTGTGATGGACTTTACAATGTCACTTCCCATTCAGTCGTTAAGTGAGTCACTGCGGTTGTTAAGCAAAACATCACGTGACCACGACTTGTGATTTTACTTCTGCATTCTCCATTAACTGTGCTTGGTGTAAACTGGTTGGGAAGCGTGAAGATGGCAATAACATGACCACAAGACATTGCAACACTAGTAAATGTAAGGATTGGTTGCAAAGCTGTTTTTTTTTTTAACTTCGAATGGTCACTAAACAAGGCAGTTGGTAAGCAGGGACTACCTGTATGTTCAGTTTTTGTGTGTCCAAATAGTATATTAAGTATAGTGAACCAATTTGCATGAGCAATGATATACAGTTTATACTTGCATGTTCTGTATATACACAGAGCTTCTGTATATGGAAATGGTCATTAACTTTGTGGAACTAACCTGATAGAACCAAAAGATCTGAACTAAAATAGCTAAAAAAATATTTCTGGAAAATACCCATAAGGATTTCTTGAAGGCACTCATTGGCCTATTTTCTGCGTCCAGATAAATTCATTCTAATACATTTTATATAAGTTCGGGCATCAAATTAAAACTGATTTGAGGGGAAAAAAAAAGCCTTGTGAACTTTTAAAATATGATTGTAATCATATGTTTGAACAGGTGGTTGGAGGAAAAATGACTGAATCAGGTCGGCTGTGTGCATTTATCACCAAAGTAAAAAAAGGAAGTTTAGCTGACACAGTTGGACATCTTAGGCCAGGTATGAGAATTGTTTTGAATTTTATAATTGGGAATGGATAATTTTGATTTATAGTCTGGTTTAATGTGTACATTTAATACTGTGATGTGCAACTATATTTAAAATCTTTCCTCGTAACAGATTTTTTATTTCGTTGCAAGATTTGAGATCCATTTTAAGAGTTATTCAGGATATGTGACGTATACATTTGTATAATGCTAATTACAATTATGGCAGATAAATATAAGGATGAGAAGGTGTGATACTGTATATCTACTTGTTTAGTTGAAGATAATGATGTGTGAACTAGAAAATCTTTTTCTGGGCATTTTAATATTTGGTCATATTCCGAAAGTTCTTCAAGTAACTTGGTCCCTGATACTTTACAGTTTTAAAGATAAAAATCAATATTTTGAATTGAGCATAGAAGTAAATAGACAGTGACAGTGACACGCACTCATATTCATGTGCTGCCATAGCAATTTAAATTTAAACTAAATTAAGTGAAAATTAAATATGCCATTTAAATTACATGAGGGAAGGGAAAATATGGAGTCCTTGGCGTTCTCTGAGATTGGTTGTTTTCTTGCAAACATTTCGTTACCCAGATAGATAACATCTTCAGTGCTAGAAAATATTTCAGATAGTAAAAAAAAAGTTCAGTTGGTTCACATAGAAGCATGTCTACTTGGTCCCTGAGAAATCATTCCTAGTAAGTTAGATTTTTTTTTTGAAAAAAGAAACCTTACCATCTCATGTTTAATGAACCCACCGAAAATAAAGAACATTTGTTATGTATAATGTGGTTGAAATCACTTACGTTATATTGGTGTTCCAAGAATTTGTCCTGTGTTACAGATTATAGCTATCATATGACTGAAATCCCCATCTTTTTACTTTTTGATTATTTGCCGTCAAGTTGGTGTTGACTCTTAACGATCACATAGATAGGTTTTCTCCAGGATGATCTATCCTCAGCTTGTTTCTTCAGGTGTTCCAACAGTACATCCATCACCACTCAGAGTCCTTTCACCTTGCTGCTGGTGGTCTTCTCTTCGTTTCCATGTTTTTATTAAAGAGTCTTTACATATGTATGTATGTATGTATGTATGTATGTATGTATGTATTGAATGAATGAATGAATGAATGAATGAAGTGGCATATAGTTCCATCCTCAACTTAAACTTGGCTTTCAGTTATATCCAGGAGAAGCCTCTTGTTGCAACTGCTGTTTTAAATCAACATTCAATATGAAGATTGCTGAAATCATTGTCTTATTTTAAATATATTTACTGATTATTTTGTACTCAGTTACAGAGTTCTGTAGAATATATATTAAAAGATGAATAATGCAAAGTGAAATAATGTTGTACCTATTCTAAGAACAATATGTTAATTAAAGTAATTTTCTTTAACAGGAATTTGTTATTTAGGTATAAATGTATTTTGTATTATCGATTAAAGCTCACATATAGGCTGTTTTTTTAAAAAAATCAAACTTACACAAATGGCAATAATACTGATAGAGTTCAAAGGTCTAATTTTCTTCAGTAAGCAGATTATGATGTTATAATTTTAGGTGATGAAGTATTAGAATGGAATGGAAGGCTTTTGCAAGGAGCCACTTTTGAAGAAGTGTACAACATCATTCTTGAATCCAAACCAGAGCCACAAGTAGAACTTGTAGTTTCAAGGCCAATTGGGTGAGTTACATTATAGAATGCTTCTTTAATTATTTAGAATCTGCACATAATTTCATTAATATTCAAGCTGAGTTTAATTGCTTATTCAGCAACAGAATGATTAGAGTAGGTTGAGTGTTCTGTAATCAATTAACTTAATCATCTTTAGCTTACCTCCTCCTAACACTCAAATGTCTTGATTACTGCAATGATTATTGATAACTATTAAATGTGATCTCCTCATGTAATGTTTCATTTGTTTTTAGCTTTGTAAGACAATGAAGATCACCCATATATTTTTCTATATTGCATTTTATATAACCATAAAAAATAAGAGAAAATACTGTTTCCAGTCTGATTTTGATATTCAGAAACTTATTCTGAACTCAGTGGTAATTTCTTGCTTACACCATTTTCAGTCTGCTGATACTTATGTATCAACATTTTGTCAGTTACAATTACACCGATGGCCACTGATAAGGTTACAGTATATTTCAGCAGTTATGCATGCTCATTAGATATTTTGCTTGCATTTAATTCTGCTTCACTTTAAAATGTTGGTTTGTATGTTTGACTCTTACCTGCAGCTTTCCAACTACATGGAAACTGAATTGAATTGCATACAATGTTTTTCTAGTAGCAGAGTCTGTTTCAGAGAGTTTGAAAGGTTTGTGGGATGAATGGTACTTCCCATAATGTGAATATAATTTCTGTATAAACAATGTATGAAAAACAAATGTATATGTTTAGCTCTTTAGGTGTTCTGTTATATGTTACTCTTATTTTCACATTTATTATATGCTAGCTAGCTGTAATGGCTGGGTACAATATGATCATATTTTATTCATAATTGCAGGGATATTCCCAGAATACCTGACAGTACACATGCGCAGTTGGAGTCCAGTAAGTTTCATTTTTTAGGATCAAATTTTCAGGATAAAATTGAGATATAGCTACTTCCTCTGTGTCTGCATACATATCTTTGTTGTGTTTTACTCTTCCTTTAATAATCATTCTGTCAGAAGTTGGTAAATACAATGTTAATGTATTTTCACTATTCTTTATTAAAAAAGGAATATTTCATTATGGGTAAAATAGAAGTTCTTCCTATCTTTTAAATTTCTTTTATCTCTTTCTTTTGTTTACTATAATCTTACTAAGTAAAATGTACTTTATGATGATACAGATTTTAAAATAATAATGTTGATGTTTTTGAGAAATGTCTCCATCATTCAGATATGTTTAAACAGTGCAGTTCTATTCATTTTTCAATGGGGAAATAAGCCCTACTGAATTTGATGGGCTTATTTACACTGTAGGTCTATACAGGTAGTCCTCGACTTACAACCATTCGTTCAGTGATGGTTTGAAGTTACAATGGTGCTGAACGAAGGAACTTATGATTAGTATCCAAAGTTATGGCTGTTGCAACGTGATCAAAATTTGGGCACTTGGCAGCCTGCCTGCACTTACAACTGCAGGGGTGCTTTAACTTCCCCCACCCACCTATCTCCCCCCCCATCTCTGCCCCTTTGGGTACCCTGTGTAGTGGCATTTCTCAGTGGCAGCAGCACTGGGGCTAAATTAGAGGCTCAGGACCTTCAGCAGTCTCAGCTGGCTGTCCCCGCCCCCAGGTCTCTACTTCAGCCCCAGTTTAGCCGGCACCACTGCTGAGAAGTGCTGCCTCAAGCTCCGCACCATGGGCAGCCATGCCAGGGCCTGCAATTTGGAGAATGGCACACATGACTGGAGAACAGCACAAGTGGCCTTGGGAAGAAGGGTTGGTGCAGCCAGCAGATGCCTTGCATAAGGCAGGCCAGGTGCACCTCTTCGGTAGCGGGAGGAGAACAGTGAAGGTCAGCTGGGAGCAGCGCAGGGTGGCTGGGCAGCTGGGGCTTCGCACTGTGGCACTGGAGTGGCTGGGTATGGTGCAGGGCTTGAGGCGGCACTCCTCAGCAGCGGCGCTGGCTACACTGGGACTGAAATAGAGGCTTGGGGGTGGGGGCAGCCAGCTGAGACTGCTGAAGGGCCTGGGCCTCTAATTTAGCCCCAGTGCTGCTGGCACTGAGAAATGCCGCAATGGCGGCTGGTTGAGACCGTTGAAGGCCCCGGGCCTCTAATTCAGCCCCAATGCTGCTGCTGATGAATGCTGCTGTGCAGAGCAGCCAAAAGGGCAGAGATGGGTGGGAGATAGGTGAGTGGGGGGGGGGGGTTGAAGCGAAGGCAAGCGTGGCAGGGCAGGAGAAGCTTGAGGTACTCACCTAACAACAGCTCTGTCCTGGCTTAACAACTGCAGCTGGGACTATTGGAACTGCCGTCGCTAAACAGTGCAGTCACGTGATGTTTTGCCTAATGACCATGTTGCTTAGCGATGGAAGTTCCGATCCCAATTGTGGTTGTAAGTCGAGGACTACCTGTATAAGATTGCAGCTAAAGTGATATAAGATCTAGCCTTGTCCCACTGTTTGCTGTACAAGAGAGCAACATTTCAATATATAACGCTTGTAAAATTACCATACAGCTTTTCTCTTATATTGATTTTCTGAACTTGTTTTAATTTCCAAGTATTTTTATGGTTTTAGGAAAATTCAAACATTAATTATATCAGACAATAGTCAACAGTTTCAGTGTTTTACTAGCACAGCATGAAAAAGCTCCTGCAATATATTCTTATTGGAGAAAGAAAAATATTTATTTTTATAATTTGTTTTTCTAATTGTAAAATGTTACTGCAGTTTATTTAATCCAGGAATAATTTGAGAAGCAAATCAATTACTCTGAGGAGCCAAATATAGCCAAATATAGAAAATACTTTGTGCAGAAGCATTTAAAATAAAATTAAGCTGCAGTCCTCAAGATGCATATGAATATAATTGAATCCAATAAAATTAGTTTCAATGCTTCAGCCATTTTTCAGTCCCATTTCATATTAAGTCTAACATCTCATGGCAATTTGCAGGATTTTAGCCTTTAGATTGTCATGGTTTCTGTGTATAATGTATCATTTTTAATTATCTAACATAAATGTTAATCAGTGAAAGGTCAATTAAATTTCCTTTTGAAATGAGGGATCTGCATTTGTTCAGCTTTAGCTGCATTGTTTTCATTTGCTCAATGTTCTATTTATATAGTTCTGTATTTAATAAATATTAGATTTATAGTATGTTTGTCTATGATCAAATGCTTTTTTTCATACATACATGCATACATACATTTTCTTATGCATAAATATACAGAATTACATATTTGGTAATTTAATGAAATGGAATTAATTATACTTCCAGGTTCTAGTTCATTTGAATCACAGAAAATGGATCGGCCTTCTATATCAGTCACTTCTCCCATGAGTCCTGGCATGTTGAGAGATGTTCCACAGTTCTTATCTGGACAACTTTCAGTATGTAAACATTTGTTGAGTGTAGTAATCCTTGTTTACTATCAATAAAACTTTCTTAAGGGAAAATGCCAAATAACAACGTACTAAAATTGTTGTTACTTGGTTTCTCTTTTTATTCAGTTCTTTCTCAACATGAATTAGACTATAGCCATTTTATACTGTAACAGGTATATGTATGTGTTTATTCTAAATTCATAGAATATTATATGCAACAGATCTACATGTATCTACATGTACTAACCATGAAGAAATATTCAGAGGGAATGCAATCCTCTATGCCCAGAATTAGATAATTAGACCCATGTGTACAGTAATTTAACCCACCTACATCATTTTCCCGACAGATTGTTATGTCAGGGATTGGCAGCCTTTTTTCAGGGTGACACCCTTTACTTGGTCTTTGACTGAAGTACCAGGAGCTGCACTCCAAAAAATGGGCAGGTCTTGATCCACAATAATCTAATCTAATCTAATCTAATCTAATCTAATCTAATCTAATCTAATCTGATCTGATTACTCCCTATGTAGTTAATCATTTCCCCTTTCTAAAATACTGTATTAAAAATTACAATAAGGTAAAATCTTTGGAGGGGTTCTGGGGGTCTTACTTTGCCATGGGGCTGTTTTGATTATTTTTCTACCAGTTCTTATTTCTTCTGTTAATTTATTTTGAAATAATAATAGTGCTTGTCATGTACAACATATCCAGACAGTAGGTAATTCATGTAAAGGATAGTAGTACAGTTTTCAACATTCTCTTAAATTGTAACAAAGTCAGTACATGTTTATATTGGGAGCTGGAAGAGTGGGTACTATGTACTTTTGCAATGCCTTTTCCACAGCTTTAGAATCATTACAATATTTTGAACATGAATACATAGCAAATGTGCAAAAGAGATTAAAATTTTACTTATGTCATTATTAAAACTTAGATGGATAACTTTAAGTCTGGGGTGGTAATGGGTGGTAATGATGTCATATCCCTTTTGCTAATTATAGTAATAATACATAATTACCACTCCTTATCATTTTCATGCTGAACTACTTTGAAAGGCTATACTGTTTTGAAAAGACGTAAACAGAGGACATTTGAAATGGTGGGTAAAATTTATCACACCATGGGTTGATAGCATGAAACAATTTCCTAAGTTTATCATGTTATCTAAGTTAGTTTAAACTCAACCTAGTTTTCTGAGTTAACACACTGAACTGTAAACTAACTTATAATGCACTCAAGCTATGGTAGAATACTTTGTAATCCAGTAGTGTTCTGTGAACATACCTATTTTTGTTGAAAACAGTGGGAAATGTGCTTTTTATGAGTTTTTGAATTAGAAAGGATCTCTTTGAAGCTATGCAACAATAACATATTTACCCTTTCTTTTGATCCAACATGATGAATTGTATTTATTTATTATACCTCTGCTTTCAGAATACTTACTGTAAGATTGCAAGATTGCAAGACATCTCATATCAATACTCATTAATAAACAATAATAAACATTAATAAACAATAATAGGAAAAGAAAGCACAAAGACGTGGTCTTTGCTTGCTTCCTTCCCTCTCCTAGCATCATTCCTGCAAGGCTATTGGATATTGGTCTTATGAGGGAGGACATAGTCAAGCTGGAACAGGTTCTGAGGTAGTCTTTATCATATTTCTCTGTAGACCAAGATTATGAAATTTGTATCATGCTCCATTTTCTCCAGCAGAAGAAGCTACATATATCCATTAGAGAAAAAAAAGGTTCCTTATTTGGAATAATTCTGTTGAGTAAACAAGCCCCTAAGTATATTATCGGAGGATGCTAGTCTCATCCTATAGAAAGAAAAGAGAGAATGAAGTTAATGATAGATAATTGGTAGTTCCTGTTGACTTCCCCAAGTCTTATCTTGGATAAATAAGAAATGGCCAGCAGTAGCTATAAATATAATAGATTATTTAGAATTCATCAAAAATGAATTTCAGCATTATGAGATTTTATTTAGTTTTGAGTATTTCATGTGCATATTCCATACATTAGCATACTTCACCTGTGTTATTTGACATACACTTCAAACTTTTTTTTAATTAAGGAGGCTTGTTTTGCCAGTGCAGAATTTATCTTGATGCTGGGTAGAAAAGTTTTTTTCTTGACCAGGAATGAGAAAGGGTGTAGGACATAAGAGTTATGGTATTATGTATAGTATTTTCCTCTCTGGTAGTTGTTCCCTTGTAAATCTTTCAGTGGAAAAGAATTTGGGAGTGAAACTATTCCCATTCATTGGAAGGATATCGATTTTCACTCTTTTTATTTATTTTATAAAATTTATGTAGCTGCCCATCTTAAATACATAACTCTGGGTGGCAAACAGTACATATAAAAACCATATAAAAAACCTTAACCAATTAAAATACTACAATACAAGAATAAATAATAATGGAATCATTATACAACTGTTCCATAAAAACACACACATTGGGCTTCCCTAATGCTTGGGGAAAAGGCCGGAGGTTCAGGCTATCTGAATTTGAGTGGGGAGGGTGTTTCATGGAGCACAGGTTGTGACAGACAAGGCATATTTCCTTGCTCCACAAGGCACTGTTTGATAGAGGGGGCCTGGAGCATGCCCACCCTGTTGGATCTGGTGGAATGGGCAGAAGTCCTTGGAGACAGATGGTCCTGCAAGTAAACTGGCCCTGTGCCATGTAGGGATTTAAAGGGTGATAACCAGCACCTTGAATTGTACTTGGAAGCCAGTGTAGCTTGTTCAGCAGTGTGCCGCATGGGTGAACTTTGAAGTGCTGAAGGCTGCATGCACTGCTGTATTCTGCATCAGTTGAAGCTTCTGAGTGTTCTTCAAGGACAGTCCTATGTAGAGCACATTGCAGTAATCCAACCAGGAAGTAACTAAGGCATTAGTGACAGTGACCAGAGCCTCCTGGTTCAGGAACAGGTGCAACAGGCACATAAGATGAATCCATGCAAAGGCCCCCTAGCCATGGCTGCCATGTGCTTTTCAAGCAGGAGTCATGAGCCCAGGAGGACCCCCAGATTGTGCACCAATTTTGTTTGGGGGAGTGCAACCCCATCAAGAGTTAAAGATGAAAAATCACTGTATCCAAGGGGCCCAAAAACCCAAAGCCACTTGGTCTTGCCAAAGTTGAGTTGCAACCTATTCTCCTCCATCCAGACTCTCACAGCCTCCAGGCACTGGATAAGAACCTCAGCAGTGTCACTTGTATGGCCAGATAGGGAAATATAAATCTGAGTATCATCAGGATATTGATGTTTTTTCACCCTGTGCCAACAGACGGCCTTATCCAGCGGTTTCATGTAGATATTAAAATAGGAGAGAGTTGAGCCCTGAGGCATTTCATATAAGAAGAACCTAGGGCAAAACCTCTCTCTCCCACTAACACTGAGTTGAACTGGCTCCAGAGGAAGGAGGAGAATCACTGCAGAACAGTGCACTCCCAACCTCTGAAGTTATTCCAGAAGTCAATGATACCAAAAGCCACTGAGAGATCCAGGAGGGCAAGGATGGAAGCACCACCTTCATCTGGAGCCTTTCAGGGGTCATTTTTCCTCAGCTGATGTTAATGTAATGATTCTGAATAGTCTCTGACTCCTTTTCTTGAAACAGCCTAGAAAACCTGACTGTGAATATTTTTTAAATACTTCCAAGCACCACTAATTTCTTTAACCTTTGTCTTTTCAAATAGAGAAACTGAGATCAACAGCCATACAGTGGCGTTTAAAAGCTTGTGAACCCTTTTGAATTTTCAGTATTTCTGTATAAATATGTCCTAAAGCATGATCTGTTCTCCACACAAGTCCTAAAACTAGATAAAGAGAATCCAATTAAACAAATGAGTCCAACACATTATACTTGTTTATTTATTTATTGAGGAAAATGATCCAAAGCTACATATCTGTGTGTGGCAAAAGAATGTGAACCTTTGCTTTCAGTAACTGGTGTGCCCCCCTTGGGCAGCAATAATTGCAATTAAATGTTTCCAATAACTGTTAATCAGCCCTGCACATTGGCTTTTAGTCCATTCCTCCTTACAGAACAACTTCAACTCAGGAATGTTGATGGGCTTCCTTGCACGATTTGCCCACTCTGGGTCCTTCCGCAACATTTCTATAGGATTAAGGTCAGGACTTTGACTTGGCTTTCTTCTGCTTTAACTATTCTTTGGTCATACGTCTTGTGTGTTTTGGGTCATTGTCTTGCTGCCTCACCACTTTCTTTTAAGCTTCAGTTCATGGACAGATACTCCGACATTTTTCTGTAGAATTTGCTGGTACAATTCAGAATTCACAGTTCCACCAATGATGGCAAGCTGTCCTGGTCCAGAGGCAGCAAAGCAGACCCAAACCATGATACTGCCACCATCATGTTTCACAGATGAGATAAGGTTCTTATGCTAGAATGCAGCATTTGCCTTTTGCCAAACATAATGCTTTTCGGGCAGTATTGAGCTTCAGGGTTTAGTGACATTGGTCTAGACAACAGATTTCCTGACATTTCACCAGCAACTGTGGCTGGCATTTCCAGAGGCAAAGTGGTCTGCTATGCAGATCATAGACAACTGAGCCGGGATTGACAGGGCTTCTGTCTTTATAGCCAGGTGGCCTGATTTCTGATTGGTCTTTAGCTGAGCTGGTTTTCAATTGGTGCAGATTGGTGAGGGTTGGTCTCTGATTGGTTTTTTGTTTGTGCCCAATCCTGATTGGTCTTTTTGGTGGTGTTGGTTCCTGATTGGTCCTTTGTTCATGCTGGCTTCTGATGCCCTTGAAGATGCCAGGCACAGTTGCTGGTGAAATGTCAGGAAATTGCCCACCATCCTACTCAAATTCTGCTGTTATCCTTATGCTGGGCTCTAGAACATGACTGCTTGACTCCTCCTGGCCCTACAATCTGTGCAGCCCCTTGGCTGTCTTCCTGGACTTCTTCTTGTCCTGCCACCCTCTGTCATGTCCATCAACTCTGGTTTTAAGCTTTGCGCTGGTGGCCTTAAAGATCTGCAAGATGCCTACCTGCTTGTTACCAACTCTGCAACCTGCAAAGTCCGCACTTTCTTTGCAGACCACTGCATCTGGAGTCTTTCTGCCCTTTTGCTCTCTGTCCTATCCACAGATACCCATCCCTGCTCCAAGGTCACATTGCTGCTTCTGGCCCTAGACCCTATGCTGCTTTCCTATCTATCTGCCTTTCCTCTGGAGGAGATTTTATTCCCCTGGAATTACTAAGTGGGAAAAAAGACTGCTGGGCCTATTTGAATATGCCTTATTCACCCATGTTGACAGCTCATCATGTTTTCCTACTGACTGGAGTCACAGAATTGTTATCCCATCTACAAAAAAAAAAAGAAAAGAACCAGAAATAGGGGCACCGTGGCTTCTTTCAGCTTAGAGGAAAAAATAGTAATACAGTAAATGATCAGAAGACTAGAAGCATTTGTACAAAATTATAATAAAATTCATAATTGGCAAATTAATAGGAATGCTATCAAGCAGGTCCACACATAAATACTTTGGAGTGCTGTTGCAGGCCTCACTGTTCTGGAGAGAACATTGCTTACATCTGGCAAACTTTGATCATCATAATGCTTTAGTTGTCTTGAGATTTTTCCATTCAACTGGAGCTCACTTTACGCCTGCAGCGTGCAAGGTCTTCATAGCCAAGGTCATTTCTCAGCTTATCTACAGTTTTTAAGTCTTCTTTTAGAAAGCTTGACATCCTAGAAGCCATTTAGTCTAAGTCTATGAGCTATCCTTGCAGTTCTAAAATGTGTTAAAAATATTGCTTTATGTTTAGAGACAAGCTTGGTCTCTGTAGACACTGAATCTTTGTACTGTCTTTTAAACCTTTGCCTAAAGTTAACTTTAGTCTCATTAGTTTTTGGAGACCATTTTAAGCCAACTTCTAAAAGTGGCAAGCTTCACTTCCTAGGAATCTCATTGGAGAACCTCTGCCCATGTCAGTCTTCCCAAGTAGACCTGACAGGAAACATGACCAGATGAGCCAATTCTTCTTTATTGTAAGGCTAGATTAACAGAAACGTGCAAGTCTGAAAGTACAGTTCTCCCACTGTCACCTTTACAGCCTGATAAGTTAGGTTAGGTCCCTTCTGACCCTCTTGCTCCACCCACTCTGAAGTTGTAGGCTATGTTCCCTTTTTTCTGACCATTTCCTAAGGCAGCATCTCTTCACCCAGTCTCCCAAGGTCATTCCCACATACTATTACAGCATGTTAAACTTTGAAAATAACAGTATTCTTAAGAAGAGTATCTGGGATATTGATCTTCAAATCAGTCTAAGTCTGGTTCCCAGCCTTTCCGAATGGGTATGTGCCAGCCTCTGACTTCTCCACCATCAATATTCTGAAATTTTTCTGGGCTTTCACTTTGTCCAGGCTGGATACATTGCTTTCTGCCATACCGATGGAACATTACAAAAATTTGGTTTTTGACCCAGTTTGGTCTAATGGTTAAGGCACCCGGCTAGAAACCAGGAGACTGTGAGTTCTAATTCTACCTTAGGCATGAAAGCCAGCTCGGTGACTTTGGCCAGTCACTCTCTCTCAGCCCAACTCACCTCACAGGGTCATTGTTGTGGGGAAAATAGGAGGAAGAAGAAGTATTAGGTATGTTCACCACCTTGAGTTATTTATAAAAATAATAAAGGCGGGATAAAATATCTTAAAAAAAATACTACCTTACGCCAAGGTCCTTGTAGGAACAGCTCATACAGGTAGTCCTTGATTAATGACTACTCATTCAGTGATCTTTCGAAGTTACAACAGCACTGAATGAGTAGTACTTATGACTGGTCCTCAAAAGTTCTGGCCATCCAGGCACCCCCCCCCCCCATGGCCTTGTGATTGTGATCTGGGTACTTGGCAACTGGCTTACGCTTAGGACAGTTGCAGCATCCCATGGTCAAGTAATCGCCATTTGTGACCTTCCCTGGCGGCTTCCCACAAGCAAAATCAATGAGGAAGCCAGCAGGGAAGGTCACAGTTTGCTCCGGTAAATCTCCCACATCCAGTAGCAGCCACCCCCAGCCTGGCTGCACTCATGCTGCACCTCACTGGCCACCTGCACCCTCTCCCCGACATGGCAGCAGCCACTTACTTGCTCGCCAGCCTGCTTGTGAGCCACCTGGGATTTGCAACTTCCTGCCAGCTTCCCCACTGTCTTCGCTTAACAATGGCAACAGGGATTGCCAGGATTGCTGTCGCTAAGCGATACATTCACATGATGTTGCACTTTACGACTGCATTGCTTAGTGATGGAAATTCTGGTCCCAATTATTGTCGTTAAGCGAGGACTACCTGTAGAATCTTTGGGCCATATGCTCCTATATTACTCTCTATATAAGAAATTCCAGATGACTTTTATCCATCCTATCCTGAAGAGGTTCCCTGGCATAGGATGAGTTCTCTTTGCTGTTTCTCTTGTCCTACCATCATTTGGATATAATCTCCCAGGTTGCCCAATTGTGTTCCTCCATATGCATAATCCATCTCTCCTTGTGTTCGAAAAATTGTATTAATTTCTTATAACAATTTCTTATTGTTTGTATCTGTCAGCCCTCCTAGGTAAACCAGCCAGGAAACAACCAGATGACTAATTCTACTTTATTGTAAGGCTACATTAACAGAATCTTGCAAGTCTGAAAGTACAAATCTCCCGCCGCTCCTTTTTACCACCTGATTAGTTAGGGCAGATCCTTTTTAAGCTTCTTTCTCTGCCCATTACTCTGTTGTGGGTTTCTCCCCCTTTTGTCTGACTGTTCCCTAGGCAGCATCTCTTCCCCCCATCTTCCAAGGTCACTCTCATATTACATCACAGTATCTGACTGCTGGTTTTATGGCTGCAGTAAAGATTTGATTTGATTTGATTTGATTTGATTTGATTTGATTTGATTTGATGCCTGCCTGCCTGCCTGCCTGCCTGCCTGCCTGCCTGCCTGCCTGCCTGCCTGCCTCTTCCCATCCTTCCAGCCCATGCAGTTCCTGCTCCCCTTGTGGATCTGGGATTTGCAGTACCTCTAAATTTGGCTCAGGACCCCTTAGAGAGTTGCAACCCACAGTTTGAAAACCCATGCCTTAGTTTTCCTTTATTTCATACTATGCCTCTGTCTATGCTTCTAATTTTCCTTTATTTCATGCTATGAGTATTATGTATTGTTGCCAGGACACTCAGCTTCTAGTACTCTGGACCTATTATTTGCTCCTCCAAATGAAAAGGAGAAAGAAAACATTCCAAACAGAGAAGCCATAGAATATGCAGAGGATTTCCCAGTGTGACTTTTGGAACTAACAATATATTGCAAAGCAGCTTTTTTTAAAGTGGTTCTTGGACTCTAAAATAAATGGACAGTGGTATAAATCCATAGGTGCCTAATGGAAGCCACAATGATGTCATACATGACATGATATCATTGTACAAATTGTGTGAATCACAATTTGTGTAAGGCACATCATATATAGAATCCAATTTTCATCTTGTGTGTGATGACCTCATGACATGTATGATATCCTCTTGTGGATGCTCAGTTATAAATTACTTTGAGCTTTGTGAAGAATTCATTTCCTTATTTTTTCCAAAAAAAATTATAAGGAAATATGTACACAAATAGGAGAGAAATATATACAGTAATACAGAAATTATAATAAATATGTTTAAGATTCTGCCTGAAATATGATTAACAATTTATTGATTTTCTCATGCTTCTAATGAGAAGGTACAAGAGTATGAAGATGACCTTTTAATAACCCAGAGATAATTAAAGTGAGCTAATGAAATGCATTTTTACAATCCAAGAAGTGGCTCAGTATAATAAATTGTACCACTCCTTTGAAACTATTAAAGCAAAGCACATTAACTGGTAGTGTGTTAGAATAAAATTAGTTCATTGAAAACAGCCAGTAAGACCCCATACAGAATTTCACTATGAAATCATTTTAAGGGCCAGCAGTAAGGGTAAACTGAGGTATTTTCATTTGTATTTCATGAATACACAAGACCAACTGAGATTAATGGGATTTACTCTCAGTTAAGGGGTTATAAATGTATGTCATACTGTCTTTTAAGTGGCTTTATTTTAACATGCATTGTACATAGGAAAGTCTCTTAGTAAAGGGCATTGGAAAGGACCTGAATATTAAACAACTGCGAATAAGGACAAACCCGTTTTTAGGATATGCCAGTCACAATGTGAAACACGTCAGATAAAAATCATTGATAGAGGAACATGAAGATGGTTTACAGTTTTAATAATACATTTGCAGATAGACTGAGTTTTAACACTTGCTTTTAAATAAATGTGTTTGTGTGTCCTTGTTTTAATTTTGGTCTTTTAGTTTCTAGCGTGTTGTCTTTTTGGCTTTGTTTTATTGCTTTTTCTTTAATTTTGCTTACCAGAGCCAAAGCCTTAGTAGAAGAACAGCGCCTTTTGTTCCTAGGGTTCAGGTAAAGGCTTAATCTGCCTGACAGAAACTAAAGTTTGTTTGTTTGGGGTTTTTTTTGGTTGTTGTTGTTTTCTTGGAAAATGGATAGTAGGAAAATGTCACAGTTGGTCCGTTTTCCCATTTTAATTTTTGAATGTGTTTTAGACCATCTTAACAAATGTCATATTGTCTTGTGTACAGCTTGAATAGTATTGCATGGATAACAGAACTCTACATTGAAATTTAAAGAGACAAATAGCTTTTAGTTTTGTCTTTATCTATATTTAAACAGGCATAGACATTCATTGACATTAATAGTCATAATAACTCTGCAACTCTTGCGTAATTGTGTACCTTGAAATAACGATATGTGATCTTGTACTTTTGATACTTGTCCTTGTATATTAAAGTTGATGTCTCTTTAAATCACTCTTTTTTTTTTTTTTGCATTTTCTAAATGAGCACATTTACTTGAGAAGATGGGCAAATAATTATGTCCTCATCTAAGAAATTTGCATCTGCAGGCATTTTAAGATGTTAGTCGAAATTCTGAAAATAAGAATAATTATAAAACATTTTTGTGATTTTTAGCGTTGATTATATTTGCCTGTTTTATTTGGGTACAAATTGTTTGCCTTTTCTCAGAAATTCCTTAAGAAACTGTAGATTAACCCACCTGTAGATTGTATAAGAATGTCATTATGCTTATTTTGCTTTGCTGCATGTTTTCCTTCTGATTTTCTTTTATTTTGTACATGGAACATTACTTGTTTTTGTAATATTTATAGATTTGAATTTAAACAAGATATATGCAGACAATTGCAGTTCAATTCCTAATAAATCCAGTTTAATTGAGCAGTTTAACCCACCAAAAATAGTCCCTGAGAAATATAAGTATACTATTACAAGCCACTTTCTTGGATGTTAGTAAAATCAGGCTACATTTGAGCATATATAGCACAATAACTGAGCTGAAATTAAGAATTATTGACTTATTTTGATTATCTACGAAGACAACCACTCCTATTGGACCAAAACATTCTGGAATTATAATATTTTCATATTAATGAAAATAACCAGTTAATCAAATTAAGAGTGTCATGGCCAAATATGGTTATCTTTTTCCACATAGTGTAGGAAAGATTCAGCAGTCTATGGAGAAAACTTCTGCTTCATTCAAAACCAGCAATTATCTTAGTGGAGCAAGTGATAAACTTCTTTTTCATCCTGTATTTGGTTATAATAATTGTAGAACAGGAAAGATCTGTATGGTAGTCTGACTTTAAAATATTATTTTTCTATCTTCTGAACAGAAATGAGTTGGGTATGCATAATGCTTAGGCTAGAATAACTATTTGTTTACATCTCTACATGGATTTTAAGCTATTCCAAATTTGGGAACTGAAATTACTTTATAAGATTTCAGAGGAAAAAAATCCAGAGGTATTCAAGGGATTAAATAATACTTTCAGTGTATGGAATGTGGCAGTAAAATGGTAACTATATACTTGTAGAAGACTTCTATAAAATAATTTTAGCAGATAACTGATTGTATTGTGAAAAGGTCCATGGAGTTCCTAACCTTATTTCATATATAATATAAAATAAGATTTCCAGCCTATCATTTTTAATGGATTTGTATCATCTAGCAGAGTTTGGCAGCCAGATTGCTGCATGTAGCTGACCAATCACTAAACTTCCAAGATCTCCCCACTCCTCTCATAAAATTACTTTTAAATTCCAAAAATCTTGCACATTCCTCAATGAAAATTTCAACAACTAGTAAGATTTCACTAATAAATACAATATTATGTGTAGACTCAAGTATTAGAAATAAATAGTAATACTAAGCATATCTTTGTGTGAAAGGCAAATTAAATGGTTAAACAAAGCATTTTTCATTTATTATAGTATATAATGTACTTTTATATAGTACAAAACATTTAATATAGTATAACTCCCATTTTGTGCCTTAAGTGGAATCTTATCTCAAACTCACCTGGGAGTAACCCCTTTTAAAACTCAGTGGCACTTAATTCTGAGTAGGCATACATAGGCTTACACTGTCAGACAGCAAAATTAGAAATAACTTATTCATTGCAGTAATAAAATACAGTGTAGATTAAGCATTTCATTTATCTTACATTTATTTATTTTACATTATATTTTTTAAAATGTGCCTAATGCATATTTTCTCTTTACAGATAAAGTTGTGGTATGACAAAGTTGGCCATCAGTTGATAGTCACAATATTGGGAGCAAAGGATCTTCCTTCAAGAGATGATGGGAGACCAAGGAATCCCTATGTTAAGATTTACTTTCTTCCTGACAGAAGGTAGCATGAACAAAAAGCTTAATTGAGTTAACAGAAATTACCACATATAGTCTGTGGAAAAAACTAATAACTATGATTAGATGTAATTTCCTGGTGGGAATTGTTATAACTGATTTTTTGTGAGAAATAATATCTGAATGATAAGCACAGAATGTACCTATATGTATAAAATGATACACATATATTAAATATTAAAGGATTTTATAAGGGCTGATCTATTAATAATAATGAATGATTGCCATATCCTTCATTTAACCTTTTAAGTTAAGGGGAGTGAATAAATGAATGAATGAATAAAATAAATAAATATATAAATGAGACATACTGATGTGCTTCCTCCGATTATTGTCTTTAAGTATCATGTCTACAATGTAACAAGTTTATTGCAGGGGACAATGACTATTGAATAGTTCCAAGGCATACTACTTCATTTCCCAAATCAATAACACATTCTGGTCTTGAAATCATCATGAAACACTGTCTTTGGCCTGAAGGGATGCTTAGTGGGAGACTTTGCTTTTATCCCCTGGGATTAGCACATTGAAGATTTCAAAGCTTGTTGCAAAGCTTGTAGAATCTAGGGTTGTATGGTACTCTTTGCCAAAGCTCAACCTCAAGTAGAGGAAAAAAATGTAGAAGGAGGGAGGGAGGGAGGGAGGGAAGGAAGGAAGGAAGGAAGGAAGGAAGGAAGGAAG